CGCCTGCATGTGCTTTATATATTGGGGCTCCTTGTTCAAGTTCCACTACTTTAAAAAAAAAGTGAAAGGGACTGCTGGTCAAGATCCTTTGGGTTGCAGTCCTAACCCTGCCACCATTAACGGTTTAGCAACTCTGGGCCTCAGTTTCCTCATCTATCAAATGGGAACAGAGCCACCCATTTCATAGCTTTGTTAGAATTAAAAGTGCACACCAAAAATACGTGCTACTCTACTTCCTTCATAAAATTCGGACAGTGATGCTGCAACTATGACCAACAATATTACGAATAACAGATAAATTAAAGTATTGCCAATCAAAAAATAGATCACCAACTCTGCTACATGTGCCCAACAGGGTACTTACAACCTGTTCCACCCCCTGAAGTCTCGAGAGATCCCCCTTCAGCCCCGTGAGACCAATTTCATCTCCACGTACAGATGGGGCTTTGAGAGAACAATAGTAGCTGCCCCCTCTGCGTTTTGTACTTGATTTGAGACCTCGACAACACATGTGAAAATCAATGCAGGTAACTTGGGTTGTGACTTCACAGGTTTCAGGAGGAGCAGTGGTATTAAGGTGGAGTTAAGCCTGTGGCCTGCGCCTGTGTGTGCTCCTGGGCCAGCCCCTCCTTTCAGGAGCAGAGAAAATGTCTGCAGTGCAAGTCCTCAGTGTGGCTTCAGGGTCCCTGGCTCAAAGCAGGCAGGACTGCTGACTCTGTGAAGCTCAACCAGCTGGAGCAGAACGTGGGTGGGGGGAGTATTGGGGGCAGGGCGCTCCCAACGGCCCCTTTCCCAGCTTGGGCAGGTGCCAGGGCCCTGGAAGGCAGCCAGTATTCGCCAGAAACGGCTTGCTCTTCACAAGACAATGAGTCCACTGTTAACTGGCAGGGCCTTGATTAATATTTGCAAAAGGAACCAAGTGGAAAATTCCACCTGTGAGGGCGGAGGCAGGGCCTGGGACATGTCAACAACCCTAATGGCCCTGCTCTCCCAGGATGGCTCCAGCAGAGATACAAAGGTCTGATAACAGTGACAGAACCTGAGAGTGTCCTTGCACCGGGTCCAAAGGAATTTCCCTGTTTGGATCATAGACACATTAACTTGTTCTTTCCTGTCCTGCCTCCCCTGCCCCTAAATTTATGCAGCACCTTTAAATCTTTCAACTTTCCTCCCATCTCTTCAGAGTCACCCAACAGCCTTGCCAGTCCAGGAGGGCTGGTGTCAACCCCATTTATGGATGAGAATAACTGAGGCTCCAAGACACCAAGAGCCTCGCTGAAGGCTGCAGCGGGTGAGTGAGTAGCTCAGCCAGGGGATGAGGAACCCTGCCATCTCGACCCCTAGCTGTGACCCAGAGCCTGCCCCAGAGGGTTTGGGGTCAGGGGCCACGGGTACTGGACAGAATGGTCCTCCAGCTCCAGCAGAGGCCCTGACCTTCACCCACCCGAGGAGGAAGAGGAACAAGTCCAAACCAGCTCTCCCAGTTGGGTAGGCCTGGGTGCTGGCCTTGGAGGAAGACAGGCATTCACTCATGCATCAAGCATTTAAGGAGTGCCTATGATACCTGGCATGAAGGCACACTGCACGGTGGCTCTTTCAGACACCAGACCTGGCAGAATTCATGACCCAAGGGGGAAGGTCAGAGTATTTCCAAAGGTCACATCCCCCAGACTTGAGTCACCTCATTTAGCCACTGCCAACACACTCTTACCTGCTGGTTTTACAGAACAGGAAAGTGAGGCTCTGAGAAGGGGAGAGCCTGGCCCGAGGTCACAGAGAGAGAGGCTGACACCTCCTGACCCGCAGTGGCCCTGCCTCCAGTGTATAAAGCCTCCACAATCCTGGGCTTAGGCCAGCGGTTCTCAACCTGTGGGTCGCGACCCCTTTGGCGGTCGAACGACCCTTTCACAGGGGTCGCCTAAGACCATCCTGCATATCAGATATTTACATTATGATTCATAACAGTAGCAACATTACAGTTATGAAGTAGCAACGAAAATAATTTTAAGGTTGGGTCACAACATGAGGAACTGTACTTAAAGGGCCAGAAGGTTGAGAACCACTGGCTTAGGCATTCAAGCAAATGGTGTCCCTCCCACAGGCCTCCTCAGACACTGCACCTTTATCAACAAGGGCCTCTCACGGAGGAACACTTTTGTCAATGGCCTTCAGAGCAGCATGGCACCTCCTGAGTGGACAGGCAGGCACACCTTGTTTGCCCACAGAGAACACCAGGTGTGGCTGCAGGGCTCACCTCTGGGCCCGCACTCTGCCATCCTGTCTGCAGAGCATGGGCATCACTGCCATCCTACTGAGGGCCAGGCTCACAGCAGTGTCATGCCTCTGTGCCTGCACCCCAAGCCCGGACCCAGGGCAGTGGATGGGGGGACTCAGTCTGTGTCCCACGTCAATGCCCAGCATCCCTTCTTCCCCTCCTACCCACATGCTCAGCGACCTCTACTTCACCTCACATTCCCCCTCTCCTTTGCCCAGCAGTTTCTTCCCCTGAAGAACCTCAGCCTCTCCCGTAACTAAAAAAAAAAAAAAAAAAAAAAACCACCCCCATACTCCCATATCTGAACCCACTTACTCCCATGCCCCTCTCACCCACTCTAGCCAAAGCCACATCTAACTGCCAGTGACGTAGGCCAGGGGGCCCCTGAGATCAGATGCAACCACAGAAGGCAGGACCACTGTGGGTCAGGAGGTCTCACCTCCTCCCTGTGTGACCTCTGTCCCACTGTCCCCATGAGCTGCCTCCTCACTCCTGATGCAGTCCCCCCTAGCCCTCACTGCAAAGCTCTCCTCCCCCAGGGCCCTGTTCTCCTCCCCTCTCTAGCACCCCCTAGAAATGTCTGCCTCACAGATCCTGTCTCCAGGCTTGACCTCTGCACCCCTGGTTGTCCCCAAAGCCTTCGCACTCAACAGTCCCAAGTTCCCACCGAAAGGCCTGTTTTGGCGCAGCTGAAACCCGGCACAGCTCCAGCCTGGCCCACAGCAGGGACTGAGCTATGTGAAGGGTTTGGTTAGCAGCTCCCTCCTTGTGGTCTCCGAGGGGCTGGCCTCCCACTGACCTGTACAGCCACCCAGGCAGCCTTTCTAAAACTGAATATTGACCACCACCTCAACCTCTGCTGGGACTCCTTGCCACCACGGGACAAAGTTCATGATCTCAAGCTGGCAGACGAGGCACTTTCACAGCAGGGCAGGCACATGCCCTTGAACATACTCTCACCACACTCATCCTCAGTCCAAGAGGGCCCATGAGCCTGCACCCAGGTGGTGTTCACCTTTGCACCCAGTACTGGCATCCTGCAGGTGTTTGCTAAGAAGACAGCTATTAGAGCTGGACATGATATCAGGAACCACGAGCTTAAAGCAACTCAGAGAGGTTGAGCAAGGTGTCCAGGGTCACCCAGCCCCAGGCAAGGGTGAGGCAACAACCTCACCTGAACCACTCTCCTTGGTCAGGAACTGGAAATGTCACGTAGAACCCCATATGTATGCATGCCAGAACCCCCAGGTGGTCTTGAGGCTTGGCCCACTCTATGGAGGCCCAAATCTGAACCTGGCAGGAGGCCAGGCCTGGCACACAGTAGGACTGCAGCAAAAACAGCTGCTTGACTAAGTCAACCTCTCACCAATTCCATCCATAGGACCCACATCCCTCTCTAAGTCTTAGTCTCCTCACCTGTAGAATGGAGCTAACTTGGGTTACAAGTTTACGTGCCCTCGAGTGGTCACCCCAACCTTGTCCTTTGCAAACAGAGAGGGCTGAAGCAGAATTCCAAGCTCTGTGATCTACTGTTAGCCCAGCTGACTTTTGTTAACCTTCCCCTAAACCACTATGTCTCAAAAAAAACAGTCCCCCACCACCTGTGTCAGATTTACCAGAAAGGGCTTGTTAAACGCAGATCTCAGACCCTGCCCCATCTGAGGGTCTGGTAAGAATCGCTGAGAAAGGACCGGAATTTGCATTTAAGGCAATGCTGAGAATCCTGGGAGTGAAACTGGAGAACCAAAGTTGCAAACTAGATCAATCCTCTAGAAATGTTACCCCGAACCCGCATATATGCATGTCAGAGACCCCACCTGACCTTGAGGCTAGGCCCACTCCATGCAGACCCAAAGCAGAACCCCGCAGGTGGGCCATACCTGGCACACAGTAGGACCACAGCAAAAACAGCCTTGGGAGATCCAAGTATTAGTGCCAGCCCTCATTTTGGGGAAATCTACATTTAACAGAAAAACCTGGGGGGAAGGGAGGATTTCTGTTACCCTAAATAACATAGAACTTAGTTCCTGCAACACGAACTAGCTCCAGGAAGAATTCAGTAAGGCTTGTCCCACCCCTTTTGCTCCAGGGGGTTCGCCTTTGCATAAAGTGGCGTCCCACTCTCAGCGCCCAGCCGGGGTCTTCCTGACTCACCAAACCTCCGGCCTGAGGCCGGCTGAGGCTGCGGCCAGGGCCATGCGGGACGGAGGGGACCAGAGCG